CTCTGCATCCTTGTATGGTTTCCCCATGGATTCATTGTGGCTTGCTTATCGGTTCCGGAGGGATTCCTTATGTATTCTTTTTGGGTCGTCAGTAGGTCTCAGAAGTTCAATGCAGCACATGTCTCCTTTTTTCCCAACCATCCTGTGGTGTTGGGTCCTCGTTTTGAAAAGACAGCGCCCCGCGTCTCCTGCTTCCTTCCTTCCTTCTCCCCCTCCTCCCTTCTCCGTCCCCCCTCCTCCCTCCTCCCCCTCCCCCTCCTTGCCTTTGCTCTCGGCACACCTCTCACACGTTTCGTAGCCCCATAGGGAGCTCCACCGAAGGTCCCAGTGGCACAGCCCGCATGCGGTTCCCTCACCCAGGGCAGCGTTTCGTGGCCCCATGGGGAGCTCCACCGACGGCCCCAGTGGGGGGGGGGGGGGCGCATGCGGTTCCCCCACCCAGGGCAGCGTTTCGTGGCCCCATAGGGAGCTCCACCGAAGGCCCCAGTGGCTGCTCTCGCATGCGGTTCCCCCGCCCAGGGCAGCTTTTCGTGGTCCCATAGGGAGCTCCACCGAAGGCCCCAGTGGCTGCTCTCGCATGCGGTTCCCCTACCCAGGACAGCGCTTCGTGGCCCCATAGGAAGCTCCACCGAAGGCCCCAATGGCTGCTCTCGCATGCGATTCCCCCACCCAGGGCAGCGTTTCGTGGCCCCATAGGGAGATCCACCGAAGGCCCCAGTGGCTGCTCTCGCATGCGGTTCCCCCACCCACGACAGCGCTTCGTGGCCCCATAGGGAGCTCCACCGAAGGCCCCAGTGGGGGTGCCCGCATGCGGTTCCCCTTGCCCAGGGCAGCGTTTCGTGGCCCCATAGGGAGCTCCACCGAAGGCCCCAGTGGCTGCTCTCGCATGCGGTTCCCCCACCCAGGGCAGCGCTTCGTGGCCCCATAGGGAGCTCCACCGCAGGCCCCAGTGTGGGTGCCCGCATGCGGTTCCCCTACCCAGGGCAGCGTTTCGTGGCCCCATAGGGAGCCCCACCGAAATCCCAGTGGCACAGTTCGCATGCGTCTCCCCCACCCAGGACAGCGTTTCTTGGCCCATAGAGAGTACCACCGAATGCGATACTCACAACGACGGTATTCACAACTGCATGTGGTTGGGTCCTTCGCCAGGCTAATTGAAGTTTGGAGGCGCTTCATTTTCTTTGTGGTTCCCTTTGACGTGCAATGCAAACAAACGGCTCTTCTTGAATCGGAAGCGCCTCATTTCCGACATGTGTTCTTCATTAACATTCAATGGAAAGCAAGGGTCTTCTCTAGAATCCACAGGCGCTTTTTTCCAATCAACCATCCTGTGGTGTTGGGTCATCGTTTTGAGGACAGCGCCCCGCGTCCTCCAGCCTCCCTCCTTCCTCCTCCCCCTCCTCCCTCCCATCGTCATCGCTATCATCACCATTTATCATCAACAGCATCATCATCAACACCATCGTCATCATCGTCATCATCGTCATCATCATCATCATCATCATCATCATCATCATCATCATCTTCATCTTCATCTTCATCTTCATCTTCAGCTTCAGCTTCAGCTTCAGCTTCAGCTTCATCTTCATCTTCATCTTCATCTTCATCTTCATCTTCATCTTCATCTTCATCTTCATCTTCATCTTCATCTTCATCTTCATCTTCATCTTCATCTTCATCTTCATCTTCATCTTCATCTTCATCTTCATCTTCATCTTCATCTTCATCTTCATCTTCATCTTCTTCATCTTCATCTTCATCTTCATCTTCATCTTCATCTTCATCTTCATCTTCATCTTCATCTTCATCTTCATCTTCATCTTCATCTTCATCTTCATCTTCATCTTCATCTTCATCTTCATCTTCATCTTCATCTTCATCTTCATCTTCATCTTCATCTTCATCTTCATCTTCATCTTCATCTTCATCTTCATCTTCATCTTCATCTTCATCTTCATCTTCATCTTCATCTTCATCTTCATCTTCATCTTCATCTTCATCTTCATCTTCATCTTCATCTTCATCATCTTCATCTTCATCTTCATCTTCATCTTCATCTTCATCATCTCATCTCATCTTCTCATCTCATCTCATCTCATCTTCATCTTCATCTTCATCTTCATCTTCATCTTCATCTTCATCTTCATCTTCATCTTCATCTTCATCTTCATCTTCATCTTCATCTTCATCTTCATCTTCATCCTCATCCTCATCCTCATCCTCATCCTCATCTTCATCTTCATCTTCATCTTCATCTTCATCTTCATTAATGCGTCCCTAGCGCCCAGTACAGCGTTTCGTGGCCCCGTGGGGAACTCCAGCGAAAGTGCCAGTGGAGGAACTCGCATGCGGTTCCTGCGCCCAGCACAGCGTCGCGTGGCCCCATAGGGAGCTCCACGGAAGGTCCCTGTGGCGGAGCTCGCATGCGGCCCAACACAGCGTTTCGTGGCCCCATAGGGATCTCCACCGAATGTCCCAGTGGCGGACGCATGCGATTCCT